CCAGACCATGAAGGAGAAGCTGGTGGTCGCTCCCATTTTGAGTTGTCCAGATTACTCGTTGCCATTTGATGTCCAGACAGACGCTTCCGGATTCGGAATAGCTGCAGTACTTAGTCAACCTCACCCCGAAGGTGAGAAGGTAATTGCTTACCTAAGTCGTTCCCTGACTAGGCAGGAAAGGCAGTACAGTACCACGGAGCGTGAATGTCTCGCGGTTATCTGGGCACTGGAAAAATTAAGACCATATATAGAGGGCGTACCAAATGTAACGGTTATAACCGATCATTATTCGTTGGTTTGGCTGAGTAATCTGAATAATGTCAATGGTCGACTTGCCAGATGGGCTCTTCGTATGCAAGCTTTTGATGTGAAGATAGTGCATAGGAAAGGCAAAGAACACATAGTACCTGATACTCTTAGTCGTTCTGTCCCAGTTTTGGATTCAGTAAATCTTCCTTCGGACCCCAAAGATCGGTGGTATGATTTGATGTGTGGTAGAGTCAAGAAATTTCCCTTAAAGTTTCCTTTGTGGCGATTGGAAAATAACGTTTTGTATAAATATGTAGCTCCGGAATATCCTAACATGTCAGAGGCATGGGAAAATTGGAAGATAGTAGTACCGAAGGGAAAGAGAAAGGAAATTTTGGTTAAGGCTCACTCTGATCCCACATCAGGACATACAGGCGTTTATAAGACCTTTTCTAGGATTTGTCAGTCGTACTATTGGCCCAAGCTGAGGAATGATGTGGCTAGATTTGTCAAAAGTTGTATGGTGTGTGTTAAATGTCGCAGCGACAATAGGAAGCCTGCAGGTTTAATGTTGTCTCACTCTCATTCGGTTTCTCGACCATGGGAAATGATATCTTCTGATTTAATCGGCCCCCTTGTAAAGTCGAAGAAGGGAAATTGTTATATTTTGGTTGTAACCGATTATTTCAGTAAGTTTAATTTGGTTTTTCCTTTGAGAAACTCGAAGGCTGCTGTTATTGCTAAAAAGATTGAAGACGAGGTATTTTTGATGTTTGGTGTTCCTCGTGTAGCCTTGAGTGATAACGGTCCACAGTATCGGAGCCGAGAGTATAAGAACCTGCTGGCCAAATACAATGTCATCCCTAAATTTAACGCACATTACCATGCCCAAGCAAATCCTACGGAAAGGCAGAATCGCACTATAAAGTTCATGCTCATGGCGTATACCTCCGAAAATCATCGATCTTGGGACGAGAATTTAGCTCAGATAGCGTGTGCAATCAGGTCATCAAAGAGCGAAGCCACCCAACAGTCTCCCTATTTTGTTAACTTCGGAAGACCTATGATTTTGTCCGGTGAGGCGTATAACAGAAAGGACGTTTTTGGACCCGATGAGGACATCGGAATAAAGGATAGAGCCGGTGGGTTCGAGAAAATTTACGCAGACGTCAAATCTAGGTTGAAGCTCGCATCGGAGAAAAATTCTCGGTATTATAATCTACGTCGTCGGCATGAAGAGTTCCTTCCCAATCAAATGGTGTGGCGTCGAAACTATGCTTTGTCGGATGCTCAGAACTTTATTTCCAAAAAGTTATCTGCGCGATTTATAGGGCCATTCCGAATAAAGTCTAAAGTTTCACCCTGGACATATGAGCTGGTCGACGACTTGGGAATCAAGAAAGGGATTTGGAATGTGAAGGATTTGCGAGGTCATCCTCCGGAGTACGCGTGAAAGCGGAACGATCAGGCCGATGATTACTCCTCAAGTAATCGTCGCTACGGTATGCTCGGCCAAGCCGTATCGCCTGTAACCACCAACCCTACGACATCATTTGTTTTTTTATCGGATGTGGGATGGCGAGACGCGGAGAGCCTGCTCTTTTGGCGGAAGACTTCTACCAGGGTGTCATGAGCGTGTGTAAATTTTTGGTTAGTTGAAGTACGCCGATCTTGGTGAGATGGGTGCTTGGACGACCGTGGTGGACTTCTTGCGGTGATTCTGCTGGTCTCTTTGTTGCTGTCGTTTCCATAGCCGTTGAGGCAGCAATTTGAGGAACCTGTCCGGGTTGTTTGGTCGTACTTGTGAGGGGCGCGGGGAGAGGTTTCCTTTCTATTCGGGTGCTCGGCGTGGAAGCATTTGGGGTCCCACCCTTGTTGCCTATGGGGTTGATTGTGCGTTTTGTGGGGGGTCCAAATATTAGGCGGAGTAGACCGCCGGCGCGCTGCACAACATCTCAGAGCGATGGCTGCTCCGACCCCATGTCGAGTCTCGAACGGGATGGGGAAGTTTTCTTCGTGGCATCATCTTACGACCAGGAACTGTAATACCTATTTTTTGTCTATGTTTTCTTGAGAAAATTTCAGGAAATTTTCTTAAGGTTGGGGGGGAATTGTAACCTTACGGTTTGGATTTTAATACTACCATTTTTGTTTCACAAGAAATTGTGCTTTACCCTATTTTTGTTAGATAATGTATACTGCGGTTCAGTGTTGAGCATTGTAATCGTAGTTTTGTGAATTTGCCTTGCTCTTGGTTATTTTGTTTTACTTCCTTAGGACTTCCTCATGACAACTAAAACATCTATTAATTCTTGAGACTTTATTAAACAACATCAACAACAATACAAATATGTAATAACCTTGTCATTCGTCCAGCATAACCTAAAAGTAATGGAATTTAATAATAGTTGGCTTACGTTATAAACTTGGTTTGTGATATATATTTTTTGGACAACGTGCCTAACTTACCTTTTTTTTTTATTGCTTTTGGGTGTCTTAAATAATGAATGTTTGACTTTGCAATCTTGGTTCAAAAGTTGTTGGCGGGATCAGCAGTTATGTGCTGCTTCTGATACCTAAAAACAAAAAGCGTGTATATTAATGTAGCCTTCATCTTTTAGAACTGTGGTGGTAGAGTTATTCAGTTATTAATTGTTTACTTACTTTTAACGGGTTGACATTTGTATTGACGTAACGGTAGATCGAATTGATCGCACTAGGCGGCGTTTTATCGCGGGGTTGCCAAGTGTATCGCTCAGCAATGTACGGAGCAACACTGTTCATATATCCGGCACCTGTTGTAGTTGCTTTCCTATTGGTTTAATTTTCGTGCCTAATTTGAATTTAAGATCTTTTGTCAAGCCTTTTTACCGCTATATGTTGTTTAATATCGGGAGTTTTTATTGTTGTCAGATTTTTAGTAATTGTCTTTTTTATTTGACATGGTTAGTTTCAATTTAAGAGCATATTTTGACATTTTGGGATGGTTGTGCGCAGGTCTGGTTTTTGAAGGGGGACAAAGTAATGTAGAAGCCGGAAGCAGGTTTGTCTTGTGATGGTTGTCCAGAGAATAACATGGTCGATTTTTCGCTCTGCCAAGTGAAACCTTATTAAAGGGATATAAGACATGTTTATTCATATTAGGAACCGTGCAATGTTGTTTGTTGGCAATTGATGGTATTTTGAGTGCCGGATCCTATCGATGTATTTCGGATATAACTGGATTTAACTTCACCTGACCAAACTTTGCTGGATCTACATCAATCCGCTTTTGATATTATTTGGAGATAATTAAGATCTATTTCCTACGAAGACAAAACCCTTCTCGAAGGGTTTTAAGTTTCGACTTTTTACGTTTACCTTTTTAAGTTTAAGTTTTAAGCTTTACATTTTAATTCTGGGCCTAGAGCCTCAGTCTAAGTCTCAAGCAAGTTTATTGTATCAAGTATAAAGATCAAATTGTTTTAAGTTACACCTCCTGTGTCACCCACGATCACCAGGATATTAGATATTGGATACCGTACACGGATGGACTGACGTACAATTCTTACCGGAAAAGCTCCACGTACACCAATTTTTTATTACAAAGTACATAACTAAGGTCAGATCCATTTCTTTCACTAACAATTAGGTCCTGGTAGAATATTTTTTTAAATTTAATCATATTTAATATAAACTTCGAATAGTGTGAACTGCGGGTACATTGGCCAATATACACGAAGGGTTTTTAACATCAAACTGTAATACCAGGGTACTTTTAAATAACTTGTACTTTAAAATAACTTATCTTGAGATCTGATTTAAGTATTTTTTTTATACTGTGTAACTTCGTGTAAAATACACTTCAATTTTTTTTAGTAATTTCTTTTATTCTAATCTCACAAAAAAATTACTTGGTGCCCAATTCTAAAAAAATTTATAAGGTAAGTAGTAGTTACGAAGGACATTCACCCACGACCATCTGAGCTAGCGGGATTTTGTGGTTCAGAGTCTACGTTAGGGATTCTGCACTATAATTGCAGTATGCCAATAAGCCAGACCATTTTAAGACATTTAAAATAAAATTTTTGAAATATTTGCCCAATCGCATGCAAGCTTTCGTGGATGGAATTTTATCAATATCGTACTTTTAAACATCCAATAAATAATGCGTAATATATATTTTGTATAACTTTAAATAAAATACTTTTTGAATCTATCATAAAAAGTGCTAGAGAAACGGATTGTTTGCTGCAACCTAAAAGGGTTTAATTTTTTGTTTTAAAACATTGGATCCTAGTAATTTAAACTTTAAATTTAAAAAAAATGTTACAGTTGTTCATGATTAAATAAAAATGTAATCAAATGTAAACATAGTCTAAAGTTAATTATAAAGAGTAACTGCACTTTTGTAGAGTTGCAGTAAATGTTTTTTTATCGATTCCAAGTAGGAAATTATTCAATAATTCAGAGCATAAAGGTAGAAACCGTGGGGTTAACGCAATAAACTAAATCAAGGTTTTAAATTATTTAAAAATCTTAGGTGTTTCGAATCGATTGAAGAACAATTTATGTAAATATTTAAAGATACATTTTTGCATAAAATTATAATTTTTAAAACCATTTACTAAAAGAATTTAGTACCTACATATTTTCTAATAATTTTTTCTTTTGTTTTAGCTAACATTGTTTGTCTAAACCTGCCAAATATCAAAAAGCTACAAAAATAATTAGAAACAAATAACACTTAAAAAATAAAAAACACAACCAAAATGTCCGAAAGTGCTTATAATTCACCGATGGTACACCGCAGGTTGACCGAATCCTGCTGCAGTTCTCCTGCAAGAAGCATCGGCAGCCGTATTACCGATATTTTAACGGACTCTGACGGTGAAGATGACATTCTTTTTACTGAAGTGCCAGGGACCCCAGAACAGACCATTATGGCCGGATGGCTCAAGTTTAGGGACAATAAAAAAGTAAGTATTTTTATTATTCTCAAAATTTAATAATACAGAATATGTAACTAATTTCTTAATTAAGATATACAAACTTAGGTAGTGCTTAAAAATATTGGATTATTATCTTAAAAAATGTGTCGTTACTCCGAAACATAATTTGATACATCATTATTTTCAGTATTGAATTCGCCATGATTAAACCTTCATAATGTTTTTATTAGCGTTGTGCACGCTTTTTTGGCCCACATTTGATGTCAAATAAAGATCGAAATATAAAAGCCGAGCGGAAACATAACATCGGTTATTTACATGTTTTGTGCGTGTTTAGATTGAATGCCATGGAATTTTATTCCATTTTATTTCAGTTAATTTATACAGAAGAGAAAGACGTGTACTTTGCACGGGGCGCAGGCAGGCTTTAGGTTCCAATTAGTTTTTGACAGGGTGTAATAACCTGCAAAGGTGCGTGGACTGAATATCTGCTGGTATGTGCGTAGAAATATACTGGGATTACGTTCGATGGAATTGGATGTTAATTAAGAACTTTAATTAACAAAATGCGTCAATAAAATTGCATCATTAACTATACGTTATTTGTCATCAGGTTGGGGTTAAAAAATGCAGGAATAACTATATGCAGTGTGTTTTAAAAATTCACTACCATATAAAAATAAAAACAATACTTTTTAACCCTTTCGTAACGGGAAAGTTTAAAGAAAGACACATGCCTATACGGGTGTAGGAACGGCTTGCTGAATAAACCGTTTTCCGAGACTGCTTAAAAATATACGCTTCCCGCATGTCAAACACGGTTTTTTTGTTGCAGATTTTACAGTTTCACTAAATTTATTTAAATTTGAAAATTGTTTCGCTTAACAATAGCTTCTTCAGAATGTATACAAACTTGATATTCAATACTGGTATCACAGGTAATAGTGTTTTGGTACAATATTGGAGGTAAATTTAATATGTAAGTGAAAAATATTTACCGTTTTAAAATTTATTTTAAAATTATATTACGCACAAAATTTTATACGTAGAGAACCATCTTAAAGGTTACTAAAAATTTCAGTAAATAATAATAATAATAATAATAATAATAATAATAATAATAATAATAATAATAATAATAATAATAATAATAATAATAATAATAATAATAATAATAGAGTTTATTGCCCAACAGTTTACACCATAGTAGGACATTTATATTATAAAACAAAAAATATTTAAAAAAAAAATGTGAACAAACTTATAACTAAACTTTCCATCAGATTTATACATCATTAGAATTTAACCTTCGGATGACCAAGGGGGGTAAATTTTAACCCCAATGTATATTTTTCTTGAATAAACTCTTAAATATTTTTAATTTTTAACTGATTATTTTTTTATTTGACTATATTATTATGCCAAGTATCTTTATATTTTGCATAAAAAAAATTTACAAACATTTCTCATTAAAAAAGTATTTTTAAAATAAATATGGTATTAACAGAATATTTAGAAGATCCTGAAGATGCAGAGCCAGCTGAAAATCCCAAGAAACGTGGCCGATGTAAAATTTGCTGTCGATCTTCCGACAGAAAGTTTACACGAAATGCGATAAAAAAGCATTTTGTCTGCAAGGAACATTTGAAGATTAAAAAACATACTATGTAATACCTGTGGTTACTAGTGCATTTTTTTACAAATTTCATTGCTTCCTTTATTTGGTTTAGACTAATATTTTTACTTTTTTGGTTTAGTTGGATTAAAAATTTGTTGTACTAATGTTTGTTTTCATTATTTAATATAAAATATAACATTAAAATAATGAAAGCATGTTTTCGTTTACTAAAATCAGGAGGGGTCATTTTTAACCCCCCTTGGTCATCCATGTATAAAAAAGAGGTTGGTCATCCGAAGGTTAATATCACAATTAGTTGATATTTTATTAAAGTTATTAAACATAACATGTAAAGGTGATTTAGTACATTGGTACAAGCAATCGGACACAGGTATGGTTCTGGCGACTACTGGTTCTGGGAATCAAAAACCAATTTGACCTAACAGGTCAGAACAATCTATTTTATAATTTACAAGATTATACAAAAAAGATACTGACAAGATCTTCCTTCTGATGGATAAAGATACAAAATTAACCGAATTTAGCAGTATTGAATGATCGATTTGATCGAATGCTTTCTGGAAATTGGTATAAACAACTGCCCGCGATTATCAATGGTTTTGCAAGTTGTGTAAAACTGACAAGATTGGACGAAGTTGATCTTTTTTCCATAAAGCCGTGTTGACTTGGTGAGAGCAGATACTTAACTTGAGTGTATACTTTTGAGTAAATAATTGATTCAAAAATCTTTGCAAAATTGTTAATAATTGATATGGGCCGATAATCTTCAACTTGGGAATTGCTACCTTTTTTTAAAACAGAGGTTATTTTTGAGATTTTTCATGAGCTTGGAAAGACTCCCGACTCTAAAATTTTATCAAAAATAATTAATAATAAACTGGGAATATTGTCATTACCTGCAGTCATTTTGCCTTTTAGCTTTTTAATGGCATTTCTGATATCAATCTCCTTAATGCTGGAAATATTTATTGTTTGGTAGGAACTGGGATCTATAATATGATAGTTGATTATAATCGAATACTTTGGCATTGACAATAATAAAGTTTAAATTATAGAACGCTTGAAGATAAAATATATAACAAGAAATGCAAGGTAAAGGGTTTTATTGTCTCAAAAAGGTGACAGGTGACGAGATAATTATCTTCTAGGCTGTAAAAATATTCAGATGAAGTTTTTTAAAAATTCGATAACTGCTGACAGTTCTGAAACTATTTAACCCCAACTTTATACTTTTAAAAATTATTATAATTTTAAGTATGTTTTATAAATAGATACATGAAAATGTATTAGATACATCAAATTTCTATTAAAAGTTCTCGATAATTTGTCGCGAACTTTGGAATCATGTTTTTATTTCAATGTTTTTTTTTGTTTAATTTTGTGATAATAAATTTGCCAGAAGAAATTATTGAGGAAGCCAACAGCGTAGCTTAAGATAAGAGCGTGTATTTCTATCTGTTAAATCTAAGTTCATTATGATCAAAATGATGCTAAATGTTAAAATTCAAAGATTTGTTTTTTAATGAAAATTATACTTAAGTACTCTCTTAAAATGAATTAATCAAAAATAACGAATTATAAGTCATATTTGACTAATTGTCATATCGAAAAATCAGTAACTAATAATTTATAAAGTTAAATTTTTTTATACTCAAAACAATTATTGATAGTTGTAAAATATTTTAAATATAAAATGCAACAGTAAAAATTTTTGTTTAAAAAATTGATTTTTAAAAGTTTTGGTTGTAATATTTTATTCTACAAAATTTTTGGTTTCAATTTTTAAAGAGTCATTTAAATGATAGTTGATAAATTTTTAATACAAATATTCTTACATTACATTAAATGTAAGTTTTAAATTTTAAAGTAGTAATTTTTGGATTAAAAATTTTTCGACTATTATTTAAATGACTCTTTACAAATTTAAACCAAAATTTTTTATTTTTAACAATTTTAAAGTGATAAATTTTTATGACAAAATTTATAACTTTACATTTAAATGTAAGTGGATAATTTTTAAATTTAAAAGTGTAAAGGTAGCTTTAGTAGAAGGCACAAGAGTCTTGGATCGGAGCCACGATGCAGCCAGTTTGATCCGTTGATGTTTTTTAATTGTCGAATTTACTTAGTACAATAGGCACTAAAAATGTAGTTATATTATTAAATTTATGTAATAAAGAAACATTTCATTACGATAATTTGTAAAACGCGTCAAATATTTATGGAGCAAGCACGATTTGGCAACACTGCGGATCAAACTGGCTGCATCGTGGCTCCGATCCCAGACTATTGTGCATTCCACTAAAGCTACGTTTACACTTTGTAATTTAAAAATTATCGACTTACATTTAAATGTAAAGTTATAAATTTTGTCTTAAAAATCTATCAATTTAAAATTGTTAAAAATAAAAGTTGTAAAGAGTCATTTAAATGATAGTCGATAAATTTTTTATTCAAAAATTACCACTTTAAAATTTAAAACTAACATTTAAATGTAATGTTCAAATTTTTGTATTGGAAATGTATCGACTATCATTTAAATGACTCTTTACAAATTCAAACCAATAATTTTGAAGAATAAAATATTAAAATTCCATTTTTTTTAAATTAATATTTTTAAACTTACAGTTGAATTTTATATTTAAAATATTTTTTGATTATCAATAGTTTTGAGTTTACAAAAATTTAACTTTTTAAACTATTTTGGTAGAAAATGTTTTATATGTGTTTTTATTTTAAATGGCTTGATACTATTTTTAAATACTTAAAAATTTAACTTTACCAAATTAATCTTAATAATTTTATAAAATATTTATTTAAGTTAACAAAATGCCACCCAAATAAATTATACTTGGGAAATTATTTTTATTAAAAAATGATAGATTGAAATTTTTGCAAAAATTGATAGAAAATAGTATTGTTTGTGAACTGTTGGTTAGTAAATTTTGTCTTTCAATACATGAGAGTTAAAAATATTATAAATATATATTATTTATTTATTTTTAGTTAAATTTAAATTTAATTTAATTTTGTCATTTTTACTTTAAAATATACGTTTATAATATTATAAGAATATTAAAAAAACTAAAGAAAAATCGATTTACTAAAGTCAATCTAAAGTCAATCAAGAACTTTTTAAGGAAATGATTTCTTAAAACGATATTTTAGACAGGTATTCATGATTTTAATTAAAACGGCTAAACTGAAATGACGTATCCCACATATTATTCTTTCATTCCTGTGGCAGTCTTCAGAGCATTGTATATTCGTCTTCCGTAATCAAACTGTCATTTTAGAACGCCTGATAAGCACAGACAACACAAAAAGCTAATAAATCCACGACGTACGTCACTTATTTGCATGTCTACGCCATCGTAGATCTATTGTGTACGTTTAATTTTCTATCTTTTAAGGCGCTGTTTACCCAGTTCCGTATCGCGGGACGCAAATCTGCCACCGTGCAGCGTGCGAGTATTTATAGCGGAAGATTATAGAAATAAGGGACTTAATAAATCGCTCGTCTATTGTGGCCGTAGTTATAAATTAAATTTTTGGGAATGAGTTATGTCAGCTGACGAATATATCTCGGGTAAACAATTTTATGTACGGCTTGCTTAAAAGATTAATGGGCCTTACATTATTGGAAGAGACATTTTTTTGGTTAAACATTGGCGTATACTTGAAAGACATAAACAATTAATTTGTTACGAAGTGAAATGTCAGTCCGGTTTATTTAAACTGGAAATCGAAGGCAAAAAGGGGTTAGAATTAAATTACTGACTTAATTTTTAATGGGAAATAGG